CGCGGATGCGGCTTGTTTAGCAGCTCCGGGGTCCTTTAGTTAATACTTGGGAAAAAAAAAAACAATAAAAGTAACAACAACAACAAAAGTTACAGCAACAACAAAGACAACTGGCGACGACTTCTTGCGGGACATTGTATGGGCCAAAGAATAATAAAGACTTAGAAAAACAAAGACGGCAAGGAAAGCCTCTTCGCTTACAGTGTTGATGATGAGAAAGCAGAAAGTACACTTTAAGAATCCATATGTATAGTCAAGAAACTATAGGTATTTGTAAACTTTAAGTTTAGTTCACTTTTACCTTTTTTGGATATTGTGTTACAAACAATTCGTATTGGATACATAGAAGAATCGGTTCTTCTAGCTAAAATTAGTATCTGGATTAGCTTAAGGATGAAACAATATTTCAAATATTCTCTTATATTATGTAGGTATATTTTAAACTTTGGGAATTAACCATTTTACCATTAAACTAAAATATTTAATTTACACTCATAAATTGTTTAGATAATTGGCTTGCAATAGTGTTTCCTTTTTTTAAATTATTAGCTAACCTTTAATTATTAAATAAATCTTTTTACTATGTTTAAATATTTTATATATGTATATATATTTAAATAAACGTTAGTACTTAAACAAAACTTGGTCACGAAATATAAAAAAACTATTTTTTGAGTGCAGGAAAGAAAGGTTGGGGCCAACTGAACGGGACACGCGAGAGCGAAAGGCTTAGGAGCACAGGTCTGGGCAATTATTGTTGATGAATACACCCACACAGACCAATATAAAATAGGGCTGCCAGCCCCAACCCCTTTCGGCACGCAAAGTGTAGCTTTTCTTTTTTGGAAAATAATGGAAAACGTCCTCCTTCCTGTGCATGGGAAACAATAATTTGTTATCTGTCCGCTGAAAAGATCCTCTCACTTTTGGGCCTAAGAGCAGTCTATAAATCACAAAAAACCAAAAAATATCCATCTATGCGTGGGCTAGCAAATCGTTTTGTGTGCCGGCAAAAAGATAATTAAGACATTATGGCATATCTTGGCAAGCACATATAACAATGGGAAGGCCTCGCTTAATGTGGTGGCATTTCATAAATAATGATTAGAAATTAAATGGGTTCTGCATGGCGCAGGAAGCAGCTCCATTTACCACCAAAGCAAATTATGAAACTAACGAGCCAAATGGGAGGAAATCAATATTAGATAGGTATATATGGGCACTTCCAAAATGTCGCTCGGGACATTTGCACACCTTTAAAGTTGAAAAAAAATTGTAACAAAATTGATTTTAATTTTAATTATGGGCATTTCCTTTCACTCTCCCCAAGCTCTATTTTTTGTAAAAATCTTGACTTTGTACCACTTTTAGTTTTTAAGATATCGTTAAAAAACTGCCGTATTCGCTCGGGACAAAAATAGAAGTGGATTTCGGGGAAGTTCATTCAACAGCAGAAATGAGCGAATTCTGAAGGAATATATGAACGCCAATTTTTTTAGATTGTTGTTCAAACATGTCGCTGTGAAATGGTTTTGGTTTTACTCAAAAATTTTTTTCCGTTGTTTTTTAATGCAGTTTCAAGCACATTCGCTCGGGACATGTCGCTCGGGACATTTTTTCCGACTGTTTTGTAAAGTGGATTTCTTTACCTCTATCCCTCAATTGCTTTATGTTTTGCTTTTAAATTAATAGTTTAACATGTAAATGAAGCAATCAGTACAGAAAAATGTCACATATTATAACAGAAGACAAGTCCAAAAAATAACAAAAAAATGGCCAAAAACTTACTTTTGTGTATATTTTTGGGGTTTGTAATACAAATAATCAAACTATACTCCAAATTTTTAGTTTATCTCAGGATCCAACTTATTAGAAACTAATATGGCGGAAAAATCATGTGGAAATATGTTTTTTTCAAGTTTCAAGTTTTTTGGCTTGGTGGACTTTTTGCTGGAAGTGCCCATATGTACGTATTATTTGCTCCGGAAAGTTAAATAAAATATGTGTTTGCCTCAATTAGAAATTGTTTGAGAAATAAATGAAATAAATTGTTGTTGTTTATGATTAAAAAAGCTGTTTTTGCAGCAGTAGAATACGTTTATTTAATAATGTGATTTTCTGTTTCATTGGGTTAACAAGTTCAGTGGCTTAGCACAACAGTGAATAAATATTTGTAATGGCTGACAGGAAGGCACAAAAGAAATATGATACCACAATAATTTAATTTAATTTTATTATTTCCGTATTCTTATTTATTTAATTATTCCTATTTAATTTAATATGTTAATTTAAAAGTTATTAAATCATGAAACATTATTTTATAACATTATATTTCGATGAATACGCTGAATAGAAGATAATTTAATTTTGCACTAGAGAGACCTGATTAAAATATGCTTTGCAGTAATCGCTGAAGAAGATGCCTGGTTGTCCATTAATTTACGCTTGTGCGGACTGAAACTTTAATGCCATGCAGAACACTATAAATCTAATTGAAAAACTAATTTGCCAGCGAGCATCTGACTGGTGGGGGAATTGGAATTTCCGAGCCAGCTACAGATGGTGTGGACAAATTTGTTAATTTCGCCAGCGCTAATTTGCTGTAACTAATTAAAAAACACTTTAAGTGAAATATTTGCCAGTCGCATAAATATGCCAAATTGTGAAGAGCGCACAGCGACCGAGATGCACGGCGGAGCAAATCTAATTAAAGTGCGAAACAAACGGGCGGGAAATTTATTTAGCGCTTTTGCGGAAGGCAAAGGACACCTGGCCCTGATTGTCCCCCCTTCATTTCCGTTTCGTCCTGGCGGCAATAATTGCGTACATTTTTCACAAACAGACAACAAAAAGTGGGGCACTTCAAGGGCCTTCAAGTGCCGGCAATCTGCGTCCTGTGTGTGTTTTGTCTGTCTGAGCGATGATTTGATTCGGCTGCCAGTACCTACGTATATATTTCTGAAGCATCAGCATCTATATATACACTATGCCCTGCACTGTACTTCGGCTAGAGGCTAGCTCCGTACCTTTCTCACTCATGTGTCCGACTGTCTGTTTGCTTATCTGTTTGTTTGTTTGCTCGTCCCTGGCGCTTGTTTGCGCGTGTTGTTTGAATTGAATTTGTTGCCCTTTGACGTGAATTGGATTGCTGACAGACGGGATTTATGGGCCAAGCTGAAAAGGCTTTCAAAATGGCAAATCAATGCGGTCAAATCGCAAATGTGTAATACAAATTACTGGCTATTTTTAAGGGGTTCAATGGTGTCAGCAAGCGATATTACTAAATATTATTCAAATTAATTTATTTTTTAGCAAAAAAAGGTGGAGGTGTATAAAAGTATGCGAGAAAAAAATAAAGCAACTATTAATCGTAGGTACTTTCAGCTTTGAAAAATATTGTTGCATACGTTGAGCGCCTTCTTGACTCCCCCAAATATATACATAAAGCATTCAAGTACCTTCAGTATTTTTATTGTACTTGTCTTTATTGATTTCCTTTATTTCCATTCTGTGTGCATATTTCCAGAGCCATGTCCGAACTGAGATCGATACACCTGCACGCACCTGTCGCGGGACCGTTGTAATGCTAATAAATTCTCGGGTGCCATTGGTTTAATTAAAGAACCGTCAGAGCCGGACTCCGCGGAGGGTCCTCGACCAGGCTGACTGGGCTGACCGGGCTAAAGAGGTGGGCCGGCAAAGGTAAGGGCATTGTTCGACCAGAAGGACACTCGCCAATCTGTGGACGCGCCTACGCTCGCCGCGGCCCAACCGGGCCACTGGCGGCTATCTGCTGACGGGCACAAGTGCGCCGCGTGACGATGAGTTCGTCGCAGGACGAAGGCATCTCCAGGAACAGGGCAAGGATAAGGAGCAGCAGCAGCAGCTGGGACGGCGGGGATACGCAGCTGCCGATGAGTGTTTAATTAATGTGACAGACTTTAGTGATATTCGAATAAGTGACGGGGCTGGCGAGGCAGTTGTGGCCCAGACCATCACCGAGTTGAGAGTGCCGACCATAACGACCACAAACATCAGCAACAGCAACAGCAACAGCAATAGCAGCAACATCAACAGCAACAGCAACAACAGCAACATCAACAGTAATAGCAACAGCAGCAACAACAATAGCAACATGTCGCGCCTTATACAACCACGATATCGTTTTCGAGATCTACTACTGGGCGATTTCTCATTCAACGATGACGGCGAAAGGTAAGTGAATTTGTCCATTACATTGGCATTGCGCATACGCCCCATTGATTGTGCAGCAGTTACCGTGTCACCATTTTGCTGACTGCCTCCAAAAATAGATTTCTAATTACACTCGCCAACTGCAATTGGCAAAATGATTTTGTCCATGCTTTATGGTGCTTCAGCTGGCGATCGATTAATCGATTTTCCCTTAGGATGAGGTAAACTGACGTTCGTCCTGTCTTCTGAATTATTCAAGCGAAGGTTTTAAGTTCGTTAAGCTAATCGAAGCTCAAGAAAAAAGGACAAGCACTTGTCACTGAACACGAGGAAGTATTTAAAAGGATCGATTTACTTTTGAATACGAATGTTTTGGTTTTTTAAGGAGGTACCTAGTTCTCGGAATTTTTATATTTTTTTTTCCATTAAGTATTCACAGCAGTGGTATTTTTTTGAACCCTTTACGTTTCGCTCCAAAGCAATTGTTTTGTAAAAATCAAGTACCTCACATGGAAACCTGTCGAAAAAGGAGAACCCCTAAAACCAATCAATATCCGCAGCTCTTGCTGTTCTGTTTGAGTGCCAATTCAGTGCCACGAAAATTACAAAACCGAAAGTGGTAGGGGACGCGAATAATTTGATTTAGGTATTGTTTGCTTTAACCATAAAAGCAAAACAAAAACATATTGCTATTTTACACATTCAGCGCTTTCACGAAGTGGTGGCGAAAATTGTTATGAGTTTTTAATAATTTGTTTTTGTCGGTCAGCAATGCCCGAAAGCTCAGTTAATTTAGTTTTAGTTCAATGATTGACCAGAGCATATCTACTATAATTTTTGTGAGTCTGTGCTTGGCTCCAATGGGAATAAATGCAAAAGAAAAGGTGCTTGTGTATATATCCTTAAAGCTTCTATTCAAATAATAATATTTTTAGGATCACATAACGAAAGCAGTTGGCTTAGGCATGGAACTAAAATATAATAAAACATTTGTGGAATACTTTGGTTTGGTTCCTGGGGAATCTCAGATGCTGATGATAAATTCAACCAAATTAGTGAAAAAGCTGTTCATGGATAATCGCATTGAAAACGAGGGCACAAACAGGACCGTATATAATATCAAAAACTTCGCCGTCTGCAGCTTTTTAAATAATCGCCTGCTCTCTAAGATTTACTCGGTGTTCTATGAAGAGTTCGTGGGTAACTCGACAGTTTTCAAGTGTCCAATTCAACCGGGTGTGTACTACTTGAGAAATAATCTAAGAGAAATCGTTGTGCCCCTATTTCATCCACCTGGCAAGTTTCGTTTAATTGTCCGATTAAAGACAGAAGCGGAAGGTTCTTTTACTGTGGAAATCACCTGGCGATATCGTGTCATACGTACTTAAACTCGTTTTGATCTAAATATCAAATGACAATAAAATCTCCTTTCTAATTTGTTTGAAATGAGGCAGTCCAAACATCAGAATACCACTTTAATTTTCTTTTAAAACGTTTGAAAAACTAAAAAAAATCATCCCTAATTGACCTATTAAATATCACAATTAATAGCTCGTTAATGGGTTGAAGACCAATGCAAAAGGGAAAAACGGGTTCGTTCGATTAGTTCGAAAATGATTTTTAGTTTTGATGGTTGTGCGTGGACCTTCCTGTGGCTTGGGGCAGTTGCTTTAGCTGCTAATCAGGAGGTAAATATATTACTATGTAAACAAAAATATAATAATTGCTAGATATACCACAGCAAACGCCGGTGTTCAGAAGGGGAGGTTCGAAGTTCATCATGGAATCTCTTCTGACCAGTTGTGATCACAACTTTGTGGAGTATTTCCGAAAAGTTCCCGACAAGGTGGACATATACACCTTCCGCGTGGTGAAACTGGCTTCAACCTTTTCCATCGACATAGCCGTGAGGGTCCTGAAAACCAAGAGAGTAATGTACAAAGTGGACAACTTGGACGGCTGTCAATTTCTAATGAATCCCCTGATGAATCGCGTTTTTGGGTCTGTTTACAAGCGACTAATCGTGAATGGCACTTTCTTTAGCTGCCCGATAAAGCCGGGTGTTTATTACCTCAGGAACGAGGGTTCTGTGGCCATGTTGCCCTCTTTTCACCCGCCGGGAAGATATCAGATCACCATGCGCGTTCGGATGCATGAAAGTCGAGCACCCTTTGTGATGGAGATGCTATGGATATATAATGTAGTCAAAATAAAGTAAAGTCAGTAAAATAAGTCGATGGATTTTAAACCAGGGACCGTAATCATTATAAGCGATATTCAAAAAACTCAGAAATAATCATAATTTATGAGTTTTATAAATATGTATCAGGAAAAATCATTATTTTTGAGTTTTATAAATATGTATCAGGAATAATCATTACATGTAAGGCCTAGTACTCACTTCAATCAAAAAGCCAACGAAACGAAAATTTCCATACAAAAATGACAGGCGGAAAATTTTGTGTTCAAAATTTTGTATGGAGATTTTCATTTCGTAGGCTTTTCGATTGAAGTGAGTACTAGGCCTTAGAGAAAAAAATATCGCTCACAAAAAATTATTTTGTGAGCGATATTATTTCGCTTAAAAATATCACTTAAAGTGCGATTGTAGCCGTTCTAAGCTAAATTTTGCAAAGATTAAAATGTGTGCTTGTAGGTGGAAGCACGGGGCATATATACAGATAAAAAAAATATGGATTTTCTTTGTATAAACCATTAAAAAAGCGGTTTTAAGTTTACAAGAGGTAATTGCGTACCCCATTTTCTATCAGCAGTAGACTTTTATGTCATTTATGTGTTACTAAAATGGCTTAACAAGAGAGTATGAACTATTCCACCCAGAATTAAGTCGATAAGTAGGCTAGGTGTTAGTGTGTTGGTACACAGTGCGGTGAACACGAGTTCAAACCCTAATTTTTTTCCCCTTTTATTTAAAGTTAAATTTTTATTTGTATTACTATTGGTACTACATATCTAGGCAACTGATATACTTTTTAACTATTCCACCACGATCTAATTCGGTATGTAGGCTGCGTGTTAGTGGGTGGGTACACCATGCTAAGATCACGAGTTCGAATCCCACATCGTAAATCCACAAAGTAAATCAAACAAAGAATATAAGCCCACAGTAACATATTTTGCTAACTAGAAAATCACTTTTATTCATTTAGGGCCGGTTTCTCGAGTGCCGGCTAACATTTCTCGAACAGATAAAGTCCCTGCTAAGGCATTTTGGCTTTCTCGAGCATAAATGTGAGAGCTAACTTTGACAGGGACTCGGAGTCCCTGTTAAGCGTTTTCGACTCGATAGAATGACAGCTGATTTCCCAAAGCCAACTATGAAGATGAAACGAAATCACAGCTGACTTTTCCTTTAAATTATACCCAAACAGCTGATGAAATAATCGAAGCACGCCATTTTTTACCCTTCACAGCACAATTCTGTGCGTTAACAGCACTCTGTAATTGTTTCTCGTTCAGATAAATTAAAGCAGTCGAGAAAGCCGATTTGCTTTTACGAACAGTTTATCTGGTATTTAAGTTTTTCGAACAGATAGCTATCAGGGACTTTGACAGGGACTCGAGAAACCGGCCCTTAGTTTTACAAATAAAATCTTTTGTAAGGACTCTGAGCTTAGATTGCACCTTAAGTCCGTTAGCACAAGTTTAAGAGCGGAGAACGACCTCTCGACGCTATCTTCTGTGGCTAGAACCGCGTGCACTTGGCCAGCTTATATAAATAAGGATAAGCAAACTTTTGGCGCTCCCAATACTCCATGATGCCAGTGCTCACATCAATAGGCTTTGGGTTGTATAGAAGCTATAGACCTATGTCTTAAATAGGTTCTATGTTGAAATCGACTTTTGAAGAACCGCGAATTCTTAAGAACAACTCATACTTCAGACTTTGTTAACCGATTTCTACTTACCTAAAACCCTTTTCTATACATGGTTTGATATTTAAATTAGTTCTGCAAAAGCCGCGAATTCTTAAGAAGAAGAGGATAAGGCTCATTCCACGTGAAACGTGACAGGCCAATTTGGGTCAAATCTCAGAATCAATCGAAACTTTTTTTTTCGTTAGAGGATTGAAATATAAGGATCGTTTTTTATTTATTTTTTTAACTCTTACCGTTTATTTTAAAAAAATATTTTTGTAAATTAGCTCCGATTTTTCAGTTATGCAGCACTTGAGACTCGTTTGAGTTATTTTAATATTTGGTATGCAACTTTGTGGGACCGATCGAAAAACCGAACCTTTTATTTCAATCCTCTATCGAAAAAAAAAGTTTCGATTGATTTTGGCATAGGTATTATTACAACTGAGCACAGACCCTCGAAGATATCTTAAATCAAAAAATTAAATGTTGCTATTTTTTTCAAACCGCGATTGCCCAAATACCACCCGTTAATCGCGAAAACTAAGTATGCAGATATGCTTATATACGTCTATATTAACATGTTTTAATGCCAATAAGCCTGCACCTTTTAATAAAGTCCATTTTGTTGACCTGTGTAATCATTATTTACGGTCCCTGTTGTAAACATTAAAAACAAATAGAAAATTAATTTAATTTTCAACTTAATATTCAAATTGTTTTAAATTTATTTGTATTTCAATGGCTAATAAATATCATTATAAATATAATATTATTATATTTTAATATTAAAACTGCAAGTTGTTATTCAAAATAAATAAACGAATTGTTAAAATAATTAAATACATAAATCTATTTTAAACACAACGAAAGTATGTATATTTCATTTGTTATATGTTATTGTAAAACAAGAAAGGAAGCTAGCTTCGGCCAGCCGAAGCTTATATACCCTTGCAGATCATTCCTATTAATTAACAAATCGCAAAAATGTTCAATTTTCTAATATTTCTCATTAATTTTCCGATCGTTCCTATGGCAGCTATATGATATAGTCGTCCGATTTTTAAAATAATTAATTCGAAATTCAGAAATATTTAAAAAATAACATCCCCAAAAGTAGAAGGTAATATTTCCAAAAACACCGAAGCTAGAATTTTTTAAAGTTTTTTTTTCCGATCCTTCCTATGGGAGCTATAAGATATAGTTGTCCGATCCGGTCGGCTCCGACATATATACTACCTGCAATAGAAAGAAGACTTTTGCGAAAGTTTCGTCCCGATAGCTCAAAAACTGAGAGACTAGTTTGCGTAGAAACAGACAGACGGACAGACGGACAGACGGACAGACGGACAGACAGACAGACGGACAGACGGACAGACGGACATGGCTAGATCGACTCGTCTTGTGATGCTGATCAAGAATATATATACTTTATGGGGTCGGAGACGTCTCCTTCACTGCGTTGCAAACTTCTGACTGAAATCATAATACCCTCTGCAAGGGTATAACAACGTGTGTCTGGCCGCAACTGGTTTTTTCCGACAGCGTTATTAAGTAATCTTTCACCTGAATGATTGGATTGGTGGCAATTAATAGCTCATCAGACGAATCGTGGTTGGAAAAATAAAATCATTTAACCACTTGTGGTTCCATGGCTTTCAGCGATTGACTTACTTTTTTTTCCCTGTTACATATTGCAAATTTGTTGCATATTTGCAACACAGATTTCTTTCGAAAGGCATATTATTTCAGGGGTCTATGCCAGAAGCGAGAGAAATTTACAAACCCTTCATATACAAATGTGCTCATTGAATGAAGACATTTTAAGTTTTAACTGTTTTAAAACACTGCGTTACAAAATAAATGCTTTATTTATTCGATGGTCGCCATACAATCATACTCTTCTCGAATTCCAAATTTAAACTTCCCCGAAGCAAGGATTGTAAGAAAAAGGACCTAAAATTTGAAAAATTCTGTTTTTGGTCCACTTTTAACTTATTTTACAGGCGATCGGATTCTAAGATTTTTTTAGCGGAAATATAACCAATCTATCCTTATTTTCTTTTTCTCAGAGGGATTTTGTTTTAAACGCACAAAATTTTTTTCCAATTGGCCTTTAATTACACTATGCAGGATCAAAAATAAACCTCGATGAATGCTATATTTTTGGATTCGTTACGAGTTCCCAAGTTAAACTGCGTTTTCCAAAGAGTTCCCCGACGCAAGGATTCTTAGCAAAAGGACCTCAAAGTTTGAAAAATGCTGAAATTGACCAACTTTGCGGAGCTCTCAGAGACAAATGGATGCATGGCTTGGTTCGAAGTTAAAGTTTTTTAAAAGATACACCCTTTATCTTTCAAACCCCATACATAAAATAATTTTAGGATTTTTTTTAAGGCAGAAATAAATTCCAAAAAACAACTGAAAAACATACAGCTGCGGTCAAAATAGTAGCAGTGTTGCCGCCTTGTGTTTTTAAAAGTTTCATGTTGTAATTTTTTCTTATCCAATTAGTCTAATAGTAAAATTATAATCAATACAATATTACCAGGAAAAGATCAATTACAACAACAAACTTTTAAATACACAGGGCGGCAACACTACTACCATTTTGACCGCAGCTGTATACTTTTATGTTTTTTGACTATGTTTTCTATAATTTGTTTCTGCCTTAAAAAAAATCTTAAAAATTTTTTAAGTATGGGGTAAAAAAGATAAAGGGTGTATCTTTTAAAAACCTACAACATCGAATCAAACCATGCATCCATTTGCCTCTGAGAGCTCCGCAAAGTTGGCCAATTTCAGCATTTTTCGAACTTTGAGGTCCTTTTGCTAAGAATCCTTGCGTCGGGGAACTTTTTGGAAAACGCAGTTTAACTTGGGAATTCGTAACGAATCCAAAAATATAGCATCCATCGAGGTAAAGTTAAAAAGCACTAAAAATGCTGCAAAGTGTTATTATTAGTACCGATTATAATCTGTTATCAATGATTATTTATTAGATCAATTAATAGCTCATCATTGTCATTTCGGGATGAGGAAATAAAGTTATCCCGTCAGTTTTGTTTCCATGGCATTCAATGGCTGTTTTCTGTTTTCTCTCAGTCTGCTTTGCATACTATCTGTGCTAGCAAAGGACGAGGTATTCTCTGTAATTGAAAAGCTGATAAATTTTAATAAAATACTGAAACTTTTCGCAGCCCATAGTCTTCCAGAAGGGCAACATAGAGTTTATCCTAGAATCCCTGGAGACGAATTGTGACCACGATTATGTGGAGTACTTCCATAAGGTGCCCAACACTAAGCTTCTATATACTTTTAGGGTAGTTAAATTGGCCCCTTCGTTTACCATCGATATGAATGTTAAAGTGCTAAAAACCCAGAGAATTATGTATAAGATGGAAAATGTGAGGGGCTGTGACTTTCTGAACAATCCTGTCCTGTTCAAAGTGTTTGGCGAAACCTACAAGCATCTGGTGGTCAATGGCAGTTTCTTTAAGTGTCCCATCAAGCCGAAGGTTTACTATATTAAAAATGAGGGCACGGTGTCAATGATACCTAGTATCCATCCACCTGGACGCTTTCAACTAACGACGCGGATAAAAATGACAGAAAGTCGACAGCCGTTCGTTATGGAAATGGTGTGGAAATATAAAATTGTACGCATTAAATAAAGGCTGTTAACTGTTAAAAGACTTTTTGCCTCTATTATGCTATGTAGTCGCTAACTACTAGCTTAAAAATAAATAAATATACTTTGTAAAATGTTCTCATTCGGTCAGCTTCTGTGAAATATTGCAGCGTGCGGAAATTTTACAAAGTATATTTATTTAGTCGAATAGACAATCATTTTTCGTCACAAAATGTGATATCAGAACTTTTGTATGTTGATGGTGCGATCGTCACTTCTTTTTTACCTCGTTAAGAGGTGTTTTCTCTGTGTAACCGAGTTAATCTAGCCATGTCCATCTGTCTGTCTGTCCGTATGAGCACTGGGACCACTGGGGTTTTAAATAATACGATATAAATGATTATGCTTAGAGATCATCATTGTAATTTAGTGTGGAGAAATAAAATCATCTGGTCAGTTTGCTTTCCATGGCTTTTAGTGGCTGTTCTCTGCTTTCTCTCGGGCTGTTTTGCGCTCTATCTGTGATAGCAAAAGATGAGGTATTCTCACTTGTTAGACAGTTGATATATTTTTATATAATTTTTTCACTTTTAGAATACAATAGTCTTCCAGAAGGGCAACATTCAGTTTGTCCTCGAGTCCCTGGAAACGAATTGTGATCACGACTATGTGGAGTATTTTCATAAGGTGCCCGGCTCGAAACTTCTATACAGTTTTCGTGTGGTAAAACTGGCCCCTGCTTTTACCATTAATATTACCATGAAAGTGGTAAAAACTCAAAGGATTTTCTACAGTGTGGAAAATATTAAGGGCTGTGACTTTTTGAATAATCCTGTGCTATTTAAAATGTTTGGCGAGACCTACAAACGGCTGGTGGTCAATGGCAGTTACTTTAAGTGTCCCATCAAGCCGAAGGTTTACCTTATTAAAAATGACGGTTTGATGACAATGGTTCCTAGCATTCATCCACCAGAAAGCTTTCAACTATCGGTGCGGATCAGAATGGGAGAAAGTCGACAGCCGTTCGTTATGGAAATGTTGTGGAAATATAAAATTGTACGCATTAAATAAAAACATTTGCAATTTTCAATGTGTAAACAATTTTAAAATTATTTTATTTTAAAATATATATTTCAATTCAATATTTAATTGGAAATACGACATTTGCAAATGCCATTAAGTAAAAGTTTTAAGTAATTTTCCGACTGAATGACTGTGGTCAATTAATCGCTCATCAGTCGAATTGTGGTTGCAACAAATTTAACCATTTGGTCAGTTGTGGTGCCATGGCGTTCAGAGGGTGTTCTCTTTTTTCTTTCTGGCTGTTTTGCATACTCTCTGTAGTAGCAAGAGATGAGGTATTTCCGATTTCCAATTAAAATATATGTTTGAATTGAAAATTTTACATTTTTGCAGCAAGTTGTGATTCAAAAGGGCAATACTGACTTCGTTTTCGAGTCCCTGGAGACGAATTGTGATCAAGATTACGTGGAGTACTTTCATAAAGTCCCAAACTCGACTATGGTATATACTTTTAGAGTGGTGAAAGCGATCTCTGCTTTTACCATCGATATCGTAGTGAAAGTGGTAAAAACGCAAAGAGTTTTTTACAAGACAGAAAACATTAGAGGCTGCGACTTTCTGAAGAATCCGCTGCTGTTCAAAATGTTTGGCGAAACCTACAAAAAGCTGGTGGTAAATGGGAGTTACTTTAAGTGCCCCATTACTCCAAAGATTTATTATCTAAAAAACGATGCCACGATTTCGATAATTCCTACCCTTCACCCACCTGGACGCTTTCAGCTGTCGATGCGTGTGAAAATAGCACAAAGTTCCCACCCGTTTGCCATGGAAATGTTGTGGAAATATAGAATTATGCGCATTAAATAAAATAATTTTAATTTATTGCTCTGTAAAAATATATAAAGTAATTTACACACATTTAGTTATTCCCAATTGCTTTATAAAGTAATCTTTCATCAATAATTGGATTCGTGGTCAATTAATAGTTCATCAGTGAATTGTTGTTGAGAAAAACGAAATCATGTGGTCAGTTGTGGCTCCATGGCATTCAGAGGTTGTTGTCTCCTTTCTTTCTGGCTGTGTTGCCTACTTTATGTAGTAGCAAAAGAAGAGGTACGCTCTCTTAAAATACCGTATATAAATACATTAAATATATTTACCTTCGACAGCCGATGATCTTCCAAAAGGGCAACATAGAGTTTATCTTAGAATCTCTGGAGACAAGTTGTGATCACGATTATGTGGAGTATTTCCGAAAAGTCCCCAACTCTAAACTTTTATACACCTTTCGAGTGGTTAAACTGGCCCCTGCTTTTACCATCGATATTTCAGTAAAAGTGCTTAAAACCCAGAGGATATTTTACAAGATGGAAAACATTAAGGGCTGTGACTTTCTGAACAATCCTATGCTGTTCAAAGTGTTTGGCGAAACCTACAAGCACCTGGTGGTCAATGGCAGTTACTTTAAGTGTCCCATCAAGCCGAAGGTTTACTATCTGAAAAACGAGGGCACGGTGTCCCTAATTCCCAGCATTCACCCACCTGGGCGCTTTCAGCTTTCGATGCGTGTGAGAATGGCGGAAAGTCGGCGGCCGTTCGTAATGGAAATGTTGTGGAAGTATAAAATTGTACGCATCTAATAAAAAGATTTGCATTTCGGGCGTGGGTTGTGCAAATTGCTTAAGTTGCTCATACGCCGTGTAGTTAGCAGTCATTACTTCATAAGTTCCGCACACGACGAGGGGTCACAGACATTGCGTCGTAAGTTGCTCATACGCCGCGTAGTTCGCACTCGTTGCTCATACGCAGCGTGGTTCGCACTCACTCCCAAAGGTGCCATAAAGTGCGAGATGCCTGTGTGCGCTCTGGCACTCGCAAAATCATAATTCGCTGGCAATGCCTTCTTTGCATTTAATGTAGCGTAAACATTTTAATTTTTTATAAGCCCAGCCGCCTCCACTGCCAATTTTGCCGGGCTCTTCCCTGCTCAGCTGACTGCGACGTGCGCAAGTGGCCGTGGCTGTTGCCTTTATAATGCCACGTAGACCCAACCACTTGGCCCGGCCTATAGCACATGGCCCATGGCCCAGTCTGCCGGGGGGTTTCACTGTGTCACGGATGCCTGCACGTCCTGCTTGGCCAGGATTCCCTACCTGAAATCGGTTATAAACGGTTTAGCAAGCTCCAGCGGTTGTTGGATTGTTCCCCAATGCTAGGGGTTATTGCGTATGCCACACATACGACGTGATCCCCCCCAAGAGCTTGTGGTTCTGTGCCACGAAATCCACAGATGGGCTGCCATATGTGCAAATTTACTTACTCGTTCTAGATGATGTATTCAGTTTCGCATTTTATTAACTTTTAATAACTTAATAGAAAATTTGGGTATACTTATAAGGTGAGAATATTATTTAATTGTAAGTTATTAAGGTAAAACTGATTTAGTGTTATTATTAATTTGAAATATTTAAAAAAGAATATAAATCCCTATGAATTACTGATAAATCGATGATAGCTTTTTAAAATAAATCAGTATGGAACACTTGTTTTTTTATACTTTTAAATTGTTTTTTAAGCCTTAATGATCGTATAAACCAAGTATTTTGGCATAATCAAGTATTCAGCACTTTTAATAAAATAATCTTAATACTTATAATGTAGTGAGAGCATTTCTTATTTGGTCTCTTTACCATACCAAATTCATAAAGTCCTCTTAAAGGAATCCGTTTTGGACCCGGCTTAAAGGCTTTGTCACACTGTGTATACCTTTTCGCCGAAACCCTTTTTTTATGTGAAATATTTAATCAAATAAAAACACCTCTTAACGAGGTAAAAAACTAGTGACGACCGCACCTTCAACATACAAAAGTTCTGATATCAACATTTGTGACGAAAAATTATTACACTCGTCATTAAATAGACTTTCTAATATTTTCTCATTCGGCCCGCCCTAGCAAACTATTCCAACCTTTTTCCCTTCACAGGCATTTTCTATTGCAGCGTGCCGAATGAGAAAATATTAGAAAGTCTATTTAATGACGAGTGTAATAATTTTTCGTCACAAATGTTGATATCAGAACTTTTGTATGTTGAAGGTGCGGTCGTCACTAGTTTTTTACCTCGTTAAGAGGTGTTTTTATTTGATATCAGAAGTTTTTGTTTGTTTACTTTTGCTCTCATAGGAGCTAATATATACATTTAAATTTAAATTGGTCAATCATAATTTTTAAACTATTGTATTTTAACAAATTGAGTTAAAAAGGCGTTGAAGTATTTCAAAATACCTTTTAAACGAGGTATAGCACATGTCTGTACCTTTAGTAGTGTAGAACTTACAAACTAACGAAATTTAGCTATTTTTAGCTCTTTCCCGCTAAAGTAGCGGCTTTTTCCAAAAGTCGTAGAACAAAAGATTCCTATATGGAACTCTTAAGTGCAAATTTACTGATTCCATGACCCTAAAGTACAGTTCGGATACCCTCCCACAAAATTCAATACTCAGGGAGCGTTAATTGTTCGAGCTGGCAACAGTGGCTATTTTCGTATAAAAATAACTATTAAACGTGACTTTTTACAGTAATGTGTTATATACCAAAATTTAAGGAATCTCAAGGGCTATACAGTTTAAGGTTTTAAAGAAAATCGTTAGAGCCGTTTTTGAAAAAAAAAAAAAGCTAAAAAAAAGTTTTAAAAAATTGTCTTTTGTTCATATTTTTTTAACTATTACATTTACACAAATTGCATATAGAAGGCGTTTATAGCATTTCAAAATACCTTTCAAACGAGATGCAGCACAAGTCTGTAGCTTTAGTAGTATAGAAGTTACGGCTTTCCGAATTTTAGCTATTTATAGCTGTTTTCCCGCTAAACTAGCGAGTTTTTCCAAAAGTGGTAGAACAAAAGTTTTTTATTTCGATGTGATGAACGTCATATCAAATTTTCAGAACTTAAAAAACATGTTTTGGACAAGTGGACAAGTGGACAAGTGGACAAACAGAATTAAATTTTCATTTTGGGAAGAAGAAGAAAATCTTATTTTGGCTATAACTTTTGAACGGAGCGTCGGATTTTGACAAATGACCCCTCATTCGACGGGTATTTTCAAAAGGAATACAAGTAAATCATTGCGAGGGGGCATTTATCCCCACCGGCCCCAACAGCTCCAAATTTCTAAATTTTTACTTTTTCACTTTCACCGCTCTCTCTCCCAATCCAATTGATTTTCTTAAAGTCTTGGTATGCAATCCTTTAAGTTTTTGCAATACCTTTCGATTGGTGTATTACTCATTACGATCTGACTATCACAGCAGATTTTCATTTCTTCGTGTATATATAGTAGTCGCCTTCGCACACTCTCCTGGTGCGCTTCGTCACTACATGGACTGCCGTCCATAGTGATAAGTACGCGGAAATTACGCTTTTGTTTTGTGGACGTTGACGACAGCATTGCGAGATCATGATTTATGGGTCCTTAAATACAACACTTTTATGGCCTGATCCCTCCTTTAAGGCGGGGTCCAACCCAAGAATATTTAATTGCTCCTCCAAATGGCTGTGGAATTCGTGATTTTAATGGCCGCACGTTCGAGCGCAGCAAGTTGGCAATTTGTTGGTCCTCGTTAACAGATGAAATTGTCCGCATTCTGGGACAAATATAACATTTCCGACCTGCTAATAAAGGTCAAAGTTCGAGCCACCCGAAGTTACCATACACAATCCACTTTGGCTTCATTAGCAAACAAATTCCCGAACAACATTCTTGGCTGTGCGCACTTGAAATGATTTGGAAAATGCGCACACAATTTTTCACTGCGTAACACGAGTAAAATGTTCAATTAGGCCAACTGGGGCTCTGTTTACCTTTTCTGGAAAAGGGTTTCCGCCAGAAGACTTTCGCATTATATCTAAGTGGCGAAATGCCCAAAACAAAAACATGAAAGCCACAACAAGAAATTCCTTCAACACGTTTGGCTAAGAAAAAAGGAGAAAAATTTAGGGTAGAAGCTTTTTGTTCCGGTTGAGTAATGGCAAATTACTTGTTTTCGCACGTTTAACACAATTTTCCCGCCAGAAAGAGAAAATCCATGCACCTGATAGGTGGGCCCTGACTGTATTTGATTTTTCCGAAACTAAAGTGCAGCTTTAGCCTTCGTGAAAATACTTCAGCGTATCCATTAGTGCTGATTATGCTGCTTACCAGCCGGGAATATGTAAGGTAAAAGATACAAAAAAATATTAAGGGCCTGTTTGTGAAATACAATTTCTGACTTTTTCCATTTACATTCGTACATCTTTCGGACACATACCTCTCGTGAGCCGACACACTTTGTGGTTTACCATAATAACTTATGTAAATCGCGTCCTTCTCAGGGCGTTTTTCCATTTTCCACTAACATTCAACTGCAGCGCTGCCTGCAAATTATTATTATTCTGCCTGGTACTTCTTAAACTTAGGGGCATATTGTTTTACGCTCATTATAAAAATAACAAGAAAGGAAGCTAGCTTCGGCCAGCTGAAGCTTATATGCCCTTGCAGATCATTTCTATTAACTTAAAAAAAGTTTTTTAAAAAACATTAAAATTGTTAAAAATTGTTATTGATTGTTAAAACAATCGAAATTTTAGCTGCTTTCGTATTACTTTGGCATTATTTATTTGATCTTTTCTATTGGAGCTATATAATATAGACGCCAGAATTTTGTTAAATTTAATTCGAAATTTTTAAATGTTAAGGAAAAGCTAAGGAATGTTAAGAAGAAGAGAATGTAATAAAAATCAACAAAGATTCAATTTTATTCCAATTAATTTTCATTTAATTTTCCGACTGTTCCTATGGCAACTATATGATGAGTGATCCGATTTTTTACAAATTTTATTCGAAATTCCGAGATATTATAAAAATAATATTCCCAAAAGTAGAAGGTAATATTAAAAAAAAACAAGAAAGGAAGCTAGCTTCGGCCAGCCGAAGCTTATATACCCTTGCAGATAATTCCTATTAATTTACAAAACGCAAAAATGTTAATTTTCTTATTATTTCTCATTAAGTTTGCGTTCGTTTCAATGGAAGCTGTATGATATAGTAGTTCGATTTTGATAAAATTAAAATCGAAATACGAAAATATTTGAAAAGAGTTACATCCTAGAGTAGAAGAGAATACAATAAAAACCAACGAAGCAATAATTTATTTCCTATTATATTCCCATTAATTTTCCGATCGCCCCTATGGCAGCTATATGATATAGTCGTCCGATTTTGAAAAAATTTTATTCGAAATTCAGAATTAGATAAAAAATGACATTTCCAAAAGTAGGATGTTATAGGTTCAAAAACACCGAAGATACAATTTTTATACCCTTGCAGAGGGTATTATGATTTCAGTCAGAAGTTTGCAACGCAGTGAAGGAGACGTTTCCGACCCCATAAAGTACATATATTCTTGATCAGCATCACAAGACGAGTCGATCTAGCCATGTCCGTCTGTCCGTCTGTCCGTCTGTCCGTCCGTCCGTCCGTCTGTCCGTCTGTCCGTCTGTCCGTCTGTCTGTTTCTACGCAAACTAGTCTCTCAGTTTTTGAGCTATCGGGACAAAACTTTCGCAAAAGTCTTCTTTCTATTGCAGGTAGTATATATGTCGGA